GGGAGTCGGGTGGAAACAGGGGAACTCTAGGATTTTAATAAAAACTGAAAGAACCACGGATGCGGCGAATCAAGAACAAAAACAAAGTTGCTGGAAAAGCTCAGCAGGTCTGGCAGCATCTATGAAGGAAAAAACAGAATTAATGTTTCGAGTCCAGTGACCGTTCCTCAGTTCTGAGGAAGGGTCATCAGACCCGAAATGTTAACTATTTTTTCCTTCATAGATGCTGCCAGACCTGCTGAGCTTTTCCAGCAACTTTGTTTCTGTTCTAGGATTTTAATGCATTGATAGTGAAGGAACAGCAGTATATTTCCAAGTTAGGATGGTGAGTGGCTGGGAGGGGAACTTTATGGTGTTCCCATATATCTGCTGCCTTTGTTATCTATTGCTAGAGGTAATGAATTCAGAAGGTGCTGTCAGAGGAGGCGGAAGTGAATGTTGAAGATGATGGATAGGGTGCTAATCAAACCAACTGCTTTGTCTAGACAGTGTTGACCTTTTCAAGTGTTGTTTAAGCTACACTCATCCAAGCAAATAGAGAGTATTCCATTACACCCCTGATGTAAGGAAGGTGGACAAGATTTGGAGAGTTAGAAGATGAGCTATTCACCAAAAACTTCCCAGTGTCTGACCTGCTGTTGCGCCACAATATTTACATTTGGTCTAGTTCAGTTTCAATTATACCCATGAGAATGTTGATAGTGGGGCACTTAAAGAGTAATGCCATTAAAAATCAAGAGGTGACAATAACATTTTCTGTTATTGATACAAATCTGAGGAGCCAAACGAAGAGTTGTGAATGGTGCCTAAATGAACAATTAATCCCTGTTTCCAGACTCCATTGGAATCTCACAAGTGTTGAGACCAGCTGGCAGGTAAGAGAAGGAGTTTGTACATTGGGAAGTTAGAGCCTGGTTACATTTCAGGTTGTTGAAGAGCATACCTGCAGCAAATGTCTCCCATCTTGAAGCATTGCCACTGAGTGATTGAAATTGAGGAGATTTATACCTCCCAAAGTCATATGTAGTGAATCTTGCATGTGCTGCACAGAATCCAATGGCAGCTATCTCTCTGCATTTCCATCTGTCCATCCTTCAGCAGTTCTCCCGCTATTCTCACAATGGGTGCTGCTCATTGCCATTGGAGAGGCTTGTGATAACCTGAACTCCCTCCTCCGTTTAAATGGTCACTAATACAAATGTGGCCAATTAATCGGCTGCCTCCCAGGTGATTATCCTTTGTTGCACCTTTGTGCAGAGTCTGAACTCTGAACTAGTTCTCATGCCTGAAATAGTTTTAAACAGGACAGAATTCTATGCTTTGTGTCAACTCCTGTTCAGTGGGTAGCACTGAACTTGGTGTGTTCAAGTCCGATGCCAGTGAATTGAGCATACAGATCTTGACTGATGTTCCAGTGCAGTATTGAGGAAGTGAAATACTGTCACAGGTGTCATCTTTGGGATCAAGGTTAAACGAAGGCCACATCTTCCCTCTCTCAAGCAAATGGAAAATATCCCAAGACAATTTCGAAAAGCAGTTGAATTATTTGCTTTTTGACCAATATCTATCCCTCGTTCAACATCACAAAAATATGTGAACATACAAAAAAAGGAATAATTGACTATTTGAGCCTGCTCCACCATTCAATAATGTCATGGCTGATCTGATTTTAACCTCAACTCTACATTCGTGTATATCCCAATAATCTTTCATCCCCATGGTAATCAAGAATCTATCTACCTTTGCCTTAAAAGTATTTAAAGAATCTGCATCCACTGCTTTTTGAGCAAAGGAATTCCAAAGTGTCACAATTCTCCAGAAGAAAAAAGAAAAAACAAGGCACAAATCAGAAGTGTGTTGGAATACTCCCCGCTTGCCTGGATGAGTGCAGCCCCAACAACATTCAAGAAGCTTGACACCATCCAGGACAAAGCAGTCTGCTGGATTGTCATTACATCCACAAGCATCCACTCCCTGCATCTTCAAGTCTATTTAAAATGGTTGCCCCTTGTTTTTAAATTATGACTCCTAGTTCTACATTCTCCCACAGGAGATAATATTCTTTCCACATCGAACCAGTCAAGAACACTCAGGATCTTATATGTCTCAATTAAGTCACCTCTGACTGTTCTAAACTCTAGGGGATACAGGCCTTGCCTGTCAAGCCTTTCCTCATAAGACAATCCAATCATTCCAGATATTAATTTAGTAAACATTCTCTAACCTGCTTCCAATGCACTAATCATCCTTCCGTAGACATGATGACCAATACTGTACACAGTACTTCAGATGCAGTCTCACCAATGCCCTGTATAACTGAAGCATAACCTCCTGCAGTCAATTCTCCTCACCATAAACATATCATTCTGTCAGATTTCCTGATTACTTGTTGTACCTGCACACTGACCTTCTGTTATTAATCTATTAGGACACCCATATAATTGCTGCATCTCAAGAGATCGGCAATTTCTCACCTTTTGGATAATATGCTTTCTTTTTATTCTTTCTGCCACAATGGACAATTTCATACTTTCCCAGGTTGTACTTCATTTACCAGATTCCCACCTACCCACTTATCCTATTTATATTCTTTTGTAGGCTCTCTTCATCCTCTTCACAACTTACTTGCCAACGTCTCTTTGTGTCATCAGCAACCTGAGTCTTTGGTCCTTTCATCCAAATCCAAAACAGACGATGATTTGGTCATCAGCATGTCACTGCTGCCAAAAAGTTTGTTTGTGCAGCCGCCTACTGTATTTCCTACATTTCAAAGGTACTTCATTATACCAAGCTTTCAGAAAACTGAAGATCATGAAATATACTTTCTTTTTATTCATTTGTAAGACGTGGGCGTTGCTGGCTGGCCAGCATTTCTTGCCCATCCCTATTTGCCCTTGAGAAGGTGGTGGTGAGCTGCCTTCTTGAACCACTGCAGTGCTCCTGCTGTGAGTTGACCCACAATGCTATGAGGGAGGGAATTCCAGGATTTTGACCCAGAGACAGTGAAGGAACGGCAATATATTTCCAAGACATGATGGTGAGAGGCTTGGAGGGGAACTTGAAGGTGATGGTGTTCCCACATGTTTATTGCCCTTGTCCTTCTATGGAGCAGAGAAGGCTGAGGGATGACCTGATGGAGGTGTATAAGATTATGGGGGACATGGAAAGGTGAATAAAAAGCAGCTAACCCCCAAGTCACAGGGTCAAGTACAAGGAGACATACTTTTAAAGTGAAAGGAAGGAGGTTTAGAGGGGAATTTAGGAGAAGTTTTCTCATCCAGAGTGTGATGGGAGTCTGGACTGCACTGCCTGAGACAGTGGTTGTGGCAGGAAACCTCACAACCTTTAAAAAGGTCATGGGTTTGGAAGGTGCTGTCTGGGGAACATTGGTGAATTTCTGTCGTGCATCTTGCAGATGGTACACACTGCTGCTACTGAGCGTTGGTGATGGAGGGAGTGGATGCTTGTGGATGTAGTGCCAATCAAGAGGGCTGCTTTGTCCTGGATGGTGTCAAGCTTCTTGAGTATTGTTGGGGCTGCACTCATCCAGGCACATCATCACTGTCCTGACTTGTGCCTTGTAGATGGTGGACAGACTTTGAGGAGTAGGAGGTGAGTTACTTGCTGCAGTTTTCCTAGCTTCTGACCTGCTCTTGTAGCCACTGTGTTTATGTGGTGAGTCCAGTTGAGTTTCTGGTCAATGATAACACCCAGGATATGGATAGTGGGGGAATTCAGTGATGGTAACACCATTGAATGTCAAGGGGTGGTAGGTGCATTGTCTCTTATTGGTGTTGGTCATAGCCTGGCATTTGTGTGTGTGAATGTCACTTGCCACTTGTCAGCCCAAGCCTGGATATTGTCCAGATCTTGTTGCATTTAAACATGGATTGCTTCAGTATCTAGGAATCACGAATGGTGCTGAACATTGTCCAATCATCGGCAAATATCCCTACTTCTGACCTTACGATGGAGGGAAGGTCATTGATGAAGCAGCTGAAGATGGTTGGGCTGAGGACCCAACCCTGAGGAGCCCCTCCAGAGATGTCCTGGAGCTGAGATGATTGAACTCCAACCACAACCATCTTCCTATGTATCAGGTATGATTCCAATCTCCGGGGCATTTGCGTCCTGAAACCCATTGGTTCCAGTTTTGCTAGGGCTCCTTGATGTCACACTTGGTTGAGGGCTGTCACTCTCGCCTCACCTCTAGAATTTAGTTCTTTTGTCCCTGTTTGAACCAAGGCTGTAATGAGGTCAGGAGGTGAGTGACCCTGGCAGGACCCAAACTGGGCTGTATACATGCAAATCTTTCTCCTTTAATACAGGGATGTCTCACACATTTGCATGCACATGAGCACTATATACACACACAGACCCATATGGAACCTTTTGGGGTTTGAACAACATGGACTTTGTGATAGAATCAGATAGCGACACTAGCACTGTGCCACAAAAGCCCTTACTGCATCTTTTTATGCTTTTGCCAAGTGGTGGGTAAGTTTCTCATGGGCAATTGCCAATTAAGGAGGCATTCATTGCTTGTAAACTGCCTTGTTAATGACTCGACTTGCTCATTAGGGGCAACGCTTCATCATCTGTCATGTAAGGTTAACAATGGTCTGCAGTGAATGCTATGAGAAGTTGAATGATTGGTGTGGGTCTGGGATGGGAAACGCTTTGGAGTCCTGCAGACACTCCTTTTTTTGATGTAATGTGCTGGTCAGTCAGCCAGTATGGCACCTTCACCAAGTTGCTGAGGCTGAAGCTGGATTAACGTTGGAGACAGGACCCTCATTACCTGGGAGCAGCATATCTCACTGTATGGGCAAATACATGCAGCAGTTAGCTACATGGTATGTCTGCATGCAAGATTCAACCCAATAATACCTGATTTCTCCATCCCTGTACACTTACACATACATGTATAGGCATGCACAATGCACAAATACCTACAAGCAAACACATTCCTAAAAATAAAATGCAAACAACTGACAATGTTGAATTCAATCATCAGTTTTCTATTTTATTAAAAAAGATACAGAAAATATATGTATATCTATATTGAAACGTGGAGTTCAAAAAGTGCAGTTAAGATTCTGGTACATTAACACATTGTAGTTCTTCATTTGATCCCATTTATCCACTTATGGGATATTAAGATAATTATTACTGATATCAAATATCTGCACCATGACCTCTTCAAATTCATCACTAAATTTTCTTCCAATGGCTTCAAGTTCATTTCCCTAGTAACAAGAAGAGAAGCCATCAGTAAACTGTCCAGGATCTCTAACCTACTTCAGTTACAGAAACTGTAACATTGCTCACTCTCTTCTCATTCCAACAAAAGCTCACCTCTCTCTCACTGTTTCCTTTCCCCAGCACATTTCTCTCTCATCGTCTCCCCCGTCCCCATCATTCAGCCCTTCTCCCCTCCAACCTGCCCCTGTCTCACTCTCTTCTCTTCTCTTCTCCCCTCTAGTCCCTTCTCTCTATCACAACCTCCTCCCTGCTGACCCTCTCTCAATCCTTTTCCTCAGCCTCTCCCTCACACTCTCCTGCCCAGGCCCTCTCTCACATTCTCCAAATGTCTTTTTGGTCACCCTCTCTGCTTTTTTAGCTCCCTATCCTCACTCATATCCTCGTCTCTCTGTGTTTCAATTTCTCAAACCCAGGTCAAGAGTGGGAGTCCCTTCCCTAGTTTGTTGTTCAATTTCTCAAACCCACTTGTCCCAGCCAAAACCCAGCAGATAAAAGAAAATGGACGCTGTGAATTTGAAACCTACTGCAATGGCCTGCATTTAGGAGGTGGCCTGGTGTGGGGTCAGGGCTAGGATATAGGAGAGTTCAAGCTGTAAAGTTATTGAACTTTGAGTCCAGAAGGCTGCAGGGTCCTCAAATGGAAAATGACACGACATGTTATTCTTCTGGCTTATGCCGAGCTTCGCTGGAGCCCTGCAGCACACCGGAGACAGAGATATTGGCCAGGGAACACATACCAGGCCTTGTTAAATCGCACAGACCGCTATTACCCATTGTTCGCCAATAATAGTCTCCATTAACAGCCATTCACATTCCTCGCCAGACTGTTATCCACTCCTTTGTTCAACTTTTCTTCTCTTTCTTTGGGCTCTATCCTCACTCATTGTTTACTCCTTATCCCCTCCCCCCACCTTATCTTCTACATAAAAACCAACATTTTCCTAGCTATCATTAGTTCTGAGGAAGGATCACCGGACCCAAAATATTAACTCTAATTTTTCTCCACAGATGCTGCCAGGCCTGCTGAGCTTTTCCAGCAATTTCTGTCTCTGTTTCTGATTCTGATTTACAGCATCTCCAGTTCTTTCGGTTTTTATTTTCTCTTCCACATCTTATTAGGACCCCTCAGGTTTTTACATGTTTCAACTGAGTCGGCTCTTACTTTTCTAAACTCCAGTGGGTATGAGCCTTGTCTGTCCAAGCTTTGATAAAACAACCCGCCCACTCCAGGTATTAGCCTAGGGGACACTCTGAACTGCCTCCAACACATTTATATCCTTCCTTAAATACGGTGACTGTAAAATGAGCAAATGGGGGAAAAGAAGGAAGTGAAGAAGACACTGTCCCAAAATTTCCAAAGGGGATCTTTATAGCACAGACGTGGAGCAGCAATTAATGTGCAACTCTCTTTAGGGGTCATCACCACAACCAAGAGAGTCTGTGCTGGTGAGGCCATACTGCTTTGTTGATTACCTGGTTGAATCTGGCACAATTGTGGAAGATTAGCCTGATGTCATCGATAAAACCACCCACGAGGTGATATTTGTTCGTGGCCAGCTTCTCCTTCACCCTGCAGAACCACATCGGGCTTTCAATTATATCACCGTAATTTGGAACCTGTGAAAATGCAGATGGCAATAAGCAGGGATGTACAGGGAAATCCCAATTGAGTCTACGTAAAAAATAAGCACTGATTCTTATTGTACAAGGAGATGCAAATAATCAAGAATGAATAGAACACCACATGAAACCTGCCAGAGTAGACAGAGAAAGAACAATTGTGTGGACACCTGAAAATGCACAGATTTTAAAATCAATATGGACTAAGTATTTTGCTCACTCTAATACAGTACCCAATAGCTTTCAGCAAAGTGGCTGGTGATGCGTGGGGATTAGCGGTTGGTGAAAATAAACATCTATGAATGTACAAAACTGTATAAGGAATGATAAATTGGGAATAGGAAGACTAGACACCAAACAACAAGAGTGAATAACCACGACGTATATGAAAATGTAAGGAAACTGTATCTGTAATCTCTAAGACACAACAATCACTTTTTTACTCTTTTCTATCATGGGATGTGGACAACACTGGCAAGGCCAGCAACTGTCACATAAAATAAATTACTTGAGTCATGTGGTTTGCTTGGATATTTCACCTGGACATTTAGGAGTTATCCATATTGCTGTGGGTCTGGAGTCCCTTGTAGACCAGACTGCGGATGGCAGATTTTAAGGACATTAGTGAACAATGTGGGTTTTTCCCATTGGGTGATGACGGCACCATTACTGCAGTTAACTTGTGATTTTGGATGTTTTATTAATTGAATTTAAATGCTACCAGCTGCCATATTATGAAGCAATAGCCTGGGCCTCTAGGTTACTAGCCCAGTGATCTTACTGCTATGCTACTGTCATCCCCTTTGTATCTGGAACACTGGGATCACATTATTAGGAATGAAGGGATCTCAATTGGAAAATATACAAATAGGGAATAAGTGGAAATCCACATTACGACTATAAACAGGGAAAGGAACAATACTGTACACTGAATTTTCAGGCCCCACTGAAGAGCAGGAACAGAGATAGACAGGAGTTGAAAAGACCGTCACGGACTTTTTCCAATTCTGGTCATTTTTGCCAATGCAGGTTCAGGCTGGTACAGCAACAGCAGCCCATGATACAGGTGACTAATGTTCCTCAAACATATACATGGTTGAATACCTGGTTAGCAAATATGAGTGAATTCTATTTCACCCATTTGAACTCTAACATGTCAATAGGTTCACGGAGCAGGTGTATTACACAATTAATGCATGCACCAGTTCTAGCATAGTGTATGTAATAGGGCTAACACCAATTTAGTACTTTTTTTTATTAACAACGTTTAGCATGCATGCTGGATCACACGTACTGAGCACTTCTGCTTGTTACAACTGGCACTGAAATAACCAACTGAACGATAGGAACTGATGTCAAATACTTACAATATCACAGGGGTTTTTTTCAAACTCCAGGGCATCTGGTTCACAACACAATCTGAGTAAAATATATTCACATTTCTGTAATTTAAAACCCTCAGTTAAACACAAGTAATAAATGAGAAATGTTTTCTTTAATATATAATTGAGTTATTAACACTGTCTAAAGACCATTCTGAATTGTGAGAACATCAGTGGTTATTTGGACATAGGAAAAAAAAAAATCAAAGCCACATACAATCCTGTCCGTACACACATTGTGCATGTGCCTAATAATCAGTCAGACTTTCAGCTGGGTGATCAGGAAGACAAATCCAGGATGCTTATTCTCCTCCCGAAGGTGACAGTGTTGAGGTTAAATGCAGTCTCTGGTGGGTAAGGCGGCTGAGACTAGCTCACTCGAACAAGTGGCGAGCCACCATATTCCTCGGTGTATTAGTTGGAACATTAATTAAGATTAAACTTATCCTCTTAAGGTTTTAAAAAGCAAACTCAAAAGGTGGCTTTTATACAAATTTCCAACAGCAAAACAGGATGGTTTAATGCATGCGTTAAATTGCACCTTGGTTCTTCCAACCAGTCATATTGGAACTGGGTGAGAATTAGATTCAAATGTAACAAAAAAAATCAAACAGAACGAGTGGTGTTTGATCAAGTACACTGTTGGGAATGGAACATGTGAAGTGAAGAATTATCCTTCCCTCTGCTGTTGAGTGTCACATCTCACTGAGTGAAGAAAGGACATTCACATTACTGCTCACACAGAATGAAAAATAAGTCTTCACATTATTGCTTCATTGGTTCTGCAGCTGAGCGCAAATTGTCCAGATGGGACTAGACACTGTTATCACAAAGACTTACCAGAATGTATTCTGGAGTCATGTTTGATTGATATACATCAAATTCACTGCTGGAGACCATCGCCCTGGTTTTATTTGATGATAGTCTGTCCATTTTGCAGAATGTGCAGATGAAATTCTCACTGGAGCTAATTAACAACATTGACATTCTTAACAGAAATCTTACGGTTAGGCACAGTTCAGTATGAAACATCATGGGAAGACTTGGTCCGTCATTTGCTCAAAGTTCATTATGCCAATATACAAAACTAGACTTCCCTCTACATTACATTGACCTACCCAGCAAAATCCATCGCTTTTGCACATCAACTCACTTATCACTTAACTTTCTCATTGAAGTTGTTACAAATTTCAGGTCTCCCGTAGGTATTCTTCCAATACCTCTGCCTCTTAAGATATGCAAAAGATTTTCACTACTCAATATTTAGTTAAATACTTGAACTCTGACCATGTCCTCAAATTTGCCTCAAGATTTGCACTATTATGCTATCAATCAAAGCAAACATCTTGAATCAGAAATATCCTTCCTTATTTGGTGTGGGAGCCACAGCCTCTTTAATTACGATTGCTGCTGGTACTTCTGCAGCAAAACTTCTCCAGAATATACTTATAAGCTCCATTCCATTGTCTCAGACTGATAGGTTACACTATTACCCTGGTTAATAGTCCTGATCAATAACCTTGTATGTTCCCAGAAGTTAGCTCGTATAGGATTAGTAGGGAAATTGACATTTTATGATAGATTTAAAACTTTCATTGTGACTAATGGAACCATTGTACAATTAACTTATTGTATAAACGATGCCACATTAATTCAAAATGAGTTACCATAGTTAATTTTATTTTCATGTTTCGAAGTGGTAACTATCTACATTGATACTGGCAGTTCACATTTTATCCTCAATGTGTGTGTCAACCATTATTTGAAATTTTGGAGACACCAAAAGTCAATGGGTAAGCCAACATCTACTTAAATGACCCTGCCAGTTTTTGTTTAAAGGTGAAAGACTTTGCCACGTGTTCAGAAGGGCCGGTCAGTACTGAATATGATCGAATGCAAATAGCTTTGCAGCATTCTCCACTGTCTTTGCTTAGACACGTCACGCTCACACAAAAGATTTCTTTGCCTATGCTTGCATGAAAGACACATTTCTGTGTTGCAATATTCCTCAATTGCATTAACGGACTACTTCTAACATTTCAGTCCCCGAGCTCTCCAATCATGGCACAATGATGAGTTGAAGACAACATACAAACCTTAAGTCTGGACTGAGTGAGGGGACGTGGCAGAGGTAGTGAAAAGCTCTGGGACATTCATCGCAGCAGATCATCTCCCCTCCATCATTACACACTGAACATTCATCGTCATTCTCCTGTTAATGTAAAACAGCAAGTTATACACACAGTATATGGCCGAATGATACTGAAATGATAAAAAGAGGGGAGCTTGCTAATGTAGACTTTCTATTTAAACGTGGCAACTCAAAGGCTGCCTTCACCAACAAGATAACTTGGCCTTTTGCCTGTCCATCACTTCATTAAGAGCTGACAGGCAGCATGTAGGTGAATTTCTCATCCCCTCGAGTGCCTTGAAACTACCTCTCCAGGTTACCAGTAGCCGTTGGACAATCAGAGGCTGGAAGCTTCTGGATCCTAAAGCCTGCCTGTCGAGACCCATGCTGGATGGAATCCAGTGGTGAAGGTAAGTCTTTATATTCTTGTCCTGTGGTAGATGCCACAGGGAGAGGGGTTTCAGAGTGGTTGAAGGAAACGGGTAAGTTTTCAGAGGCCCTTGCTCACCATCCATGCCTCCAATAGGCCTTACCCACCAGACCCCATCCCTGACAAGTGGAGAAAGTCACCCACAGACCTTCCAGCTCAGTGTATTGTGGAAGTGCCAGGAAGAGGGCAAATTAGGTAGATTTTGTACCTAGGTACCGCTGTACCTAAGATGGCACCGGGAGTGGCAACATTGTACACTTTTCACTGTACTCCTGTATCCCTGTACAGGAGTAAATGTGACAATAAAACTTAATTCAAATTCCTCTCCAGGGCAAACTTGTCCAACTATTTTCCACGCTCACAGCCTCTCTCATCAGCTCCAGGGAAGGGAAAGTTCGAGCCATCACAAAACTTCAAGGCAAACATGAAACATCGCTGCTCCAAGTCTCCTTTTCTCTATCACTATCGCCAACTTGTCTTCCCAGCTGTGTGCATCTAAATTTCTTCAAATTCTCATCGGCTTTCTCTTGTGAACCTTTAGATCTACCAGTCTCTCTTTCTCACTTGGTGTCTCTCTATCTCTGCCTGATTATCAGTATTTGTCTGTCTCTTGATCTGTGTGTGTGTACCATTGTCTCTATCTCTCTCTCTCTCTCTCTCTCTCTGTACATCTGTAATTGCATCTTAAATCAGGATTGTGTTGGGATCCAGCTGCTCTGAAATAATGATGGGGTCATCTTGTTTCAAAGAAATAAGCTCTACCGAGAGTGTTCTCTGGAATTTCAAAGAATGTGAAATTGTCTCATTTAGAAGTGTAAAAAGAGGGCTGAACAGATTGGACGTTGAGAGATGGTTTCACCTGGATACAGGCCGAGAACAATATGTCACAGAATAAGGAACTAGCCCTTTAGGAACAAGTTGAGGAGAAATTTATTCACTCAAAGGATTGAGGATCTTTTAATTCTCCTCTTCCACTCACAACACCACCGAGAACAAAAAGTTTATTTACCTGAGATTCAAAATCGGGAGATGTGCACTTATCACAAATACAGTCAAGCTTGTGGAGTTTCAAGTAGCCTTTCTGGAAAAGTAAAATTTAAAGAAAGGATCAGAGGGAAAAAAATTAAATCATATTGAATTGTGGTATCAAGGATACTGAGCTTGAAGATGTATTCCAAGGTACGTCAAGGCGTCAGAGCGCAAAAGACTATGGGACAGAGGAAGAAATGAGACAGGGGTCAGAAAGCTACTGACAGTGGAATGAAATGAATGTGACCCTGACTTGGAGTGAATATAATGTAGAATCTGTAAACGGCATGGAAACGGGACAAGGTGAGTGAAACTGACTGAAACTGAAAGTAAGGCAGTGTGAATATGATCAAAAGTTTATGCGTGTTGATGACATATGCAGTGATATGAAAGCTATCATCTTAGGAAATGAAGGGGAGCTCATGTTCAGTATTACAGTGTGCAAGTTAGGGGGAAGCATAGTTACATTACTCAAATAACGTGAGAACAATAGATGAATAGGCAATTTTCAGTTAACTGTCCACAGCTGCTGGTTCAGAAACTTTCCATTTGAATTTTTTATGGTTAATTTCTGTTTCTTCTTAGCATTTATGTTTGTTGATCTCCATCTAATGTGTGAGGCACTTGGGTGGGAATGTGGCTAGGTCTATTTCTGGGATGCTGGTTCCGATTAGGATTCAGACATTTGGTAAGATTATAAGATAAAGGCAGAAAACTGACGAATGGTTCTGGAACACGGTGGATGGGAGATGTCATGGGCAGAGGGAGCACAGGGAACTCCTATGGAGGAGGCGATTACATCTTTCATTGACAGCTGCTTCAGAATCTTGAACAAGTTGGGCAGCATTTACTGTATCTATAAATGAAATGTTCCAGAAGGTTTCTTTAACAGGCATTAGATGCCATAAAACACATGCAGGGGACCATAGGCCACGGGCCTGTTTTAGGTGGCCACCTAGAATGCCTGAATTATGGGCCTAACACATTTGGTACTGTCCCAAAGTCACATGCGAATTGGGGGCATGGGCAATTCGTGTAAATTTGTCAGTGTGACTTCCCTTTCACATTCTATCAGACCAATTTCAACTCACATAGTGCTTTCATAGACTGCTGTCTGGTAGTATCTTGTGAAGTCCTATAATTGGATTTCTCTGCTGGTACCTGGTATGTTAAAATAAGAGTATTGGAAACGTTGCCTTAGAATAAAGATGTAGGTTTAAAGCTCCGCATTTAAACCGCAGCACCTCACCGGACAGTGGGTTTAGTGGAACAGACCTGGATCAGTTGGCCCAGAGTCTCTGATTTACAGCGGATGCTTCTCTTCCAATATCGAAGATGTTCGCTGATACCACTCATACTTTCAAACTCTGCTGGAGTCAACCATTTAGTCTCTGTTCGAATGCATTTTCCATTCACTCCTTAAAGCAAAGAAATGGGAAGAATGAGATAGATAAATTCATTGGAACTGGACAGAAAATGCCACCAGTTGGAGCAAATGATGTATATCTCATGCCAAGAAGGAGGGTATGTCTTGACCATTTGGAAAGGAAAAACAACAGTCTACGCTTGACAGATCACATGGGTAAGCCAGCAGAGGTGTGCTGGGAATGAGACGGCTTGAAAGGGATCAGGCAGATCAAGATCATGACAAATTAATCAGGACAGAGGAAGGGTGATCTCCATTGGTAGCTAAAACATAAGCACCTAGGGAAAAAAAAAAGCACAACAGTAGGAACAGAACCTCTCCAAGTTGCTTAAAACTAAACTCAAATCAAATCTACCATCCTGCCCTGTCCCCATATCCATTGGTTTCCAAAAATCTATCAATTTCTGAGTGGTATGTATCCACTGATTGAGCATAAACAGCCCTCAAGTGCAATGAAGAAAGACTAGATAGACTGTGGCTGCTTTCCTTAGAGCAAAGAAGGCTGAGGGTGCCTGATTGAGGTGCATAAAATTATGAGGGGCATAGACAGGGTAGACAGGAAGAACTGTTTCCATTTAGTAGAGGGATCAATAACCAAGGGGTACAGCTCTAAGGTTAAAGAAGGAGAAAAGTTTAGAAGGGATTAAAGGAAAAATATTTTCACTCAGAGGGTGGTGGCTATCTGGAACTCACTGCCTGAAAGGGCGGTAGAAACCAGACCCATCACAATATTTAACAAGTATTTAGATAATGGCTTGAAGTGCCATAGCATACAAGGCTATGGACCAAATACTAGAAAATAGGACTAGAGTAAATAGGTTCTTGACGAGTGATAAAGATACCACAGGCTGAAGGGCCCCTTTCAATGCTGTAAAACTCTCTCACTCTAAAGCCAAGTAGTCTGCTATTGCTGATGGAAATAAGAAAAAAAAAAAATGTAGTTTCTCTGAAGGACATTAGGTTTTGGAAAGCTCTTCCGCAGAAAACAGTGGACATTGGTTCATTGAACATATTCGAGTTGAGTTTTACAGAAATCTGATTGTCAAGAATTGTGGGACATAGGCAAGAAAGTGGTGTTGACGCCACAATCTGATCAAATTATGTAGCAGGTTCAATTACCTACACCTGCACCAATTTCTTGAGACAGAGTAAAGTTGGTCATAGTGTAACCATTGTTACAAAATGGTCACAATCAGGAAAGAGAACATTGAAGATGATAACGATTTGGTAAACTGCAAAATTTACAAAGTTTGCCAAATTACATGGAAGAAAAAAATGACAATTAGGCCTGTAGCTTAGCAATGGAAAATATTTAAACAAGAGTAAATATTTTACAGACTCAATACAGTCCAGTAAGCTAAAAAGGTGCTTGTCTTAGGTTGGGATTCCAGGAAAGAATAACGCAATCAAATCAATTTTGGAGCTAAAAAGACAAGATGCGTTTATAGATTACACAGCAGGTAACAGAATGGAAATGAAGACAAATGCAAAGAAAATGCAGTAGCGATGGAAGGAAGTTTGAAAAACCATTAATAAAAAGTATTGAGGGCAATGAAAAGAATTTGGTTGATACAGATAATAGCTAATGCAGGAGTAGAACCAATCCAATTTAGTGGTTGCAAACAGATTGGGAGAATAGCAGAAATACAAACTAAATCTTTTGTCTCAGTTTCGACTGAAGAGGTGAGATTCTTTACAGAACTGAAGAAATGACACAAACTTAAAGGTGACAAATAATTGGGAACTTGAATACCAGAAGATAAGATAGCTAGGTCATTGCAAGAAATAGGCCAGAAGTTTCCTCAAAACCTCAAAAACAAGTTTTTTTAGAACCTTAAAATTGAGTTGCCAATGCTGTTAAGCATCTTACAATGCAGATCAGTCAGTTAATATGGATATTAATTGAAGATATTAAGTAAAACTCAAAGAAGTTTTATTGACACAGAGAAACATGAGACTGACCGAGGAAAAATTATGGCAAATTAGAAACCAAAAAGATAATAAAAACCAAAAGAACTGCAGATGCTGTGAATCAGGAACAAAAACAAAGTTGCTGGAAAAGCTCAGCAGGTCTGGCAGCATCTGTGAAGGAAAAAACAGAGTTAACGTTTTGGGTCCGGTGACCCTTCCTCAGAACCAAAAAGATAACCTCTCTGTGGAGTTGGAAGACACAGCAAGAATCTGAATGAATACTTGGTTACTTCGTGGGACTGTTTGTTGCATATATCAACAATTTACACTTGAACATAGATGGTATGATTGAAAACGTTTGTGTGAATGGTTGACGAGAATGAAAGCGGTAACAGGTCAATGGACTGACCAGGTGGGTAGCCAAGCAGTAAAACGGAATTCAATCTGGAAAAGTAAGGAAATGCTTTGTTTATCCTCCACAAATTCAAGGGAATACATGATAAACAGTGATGGCTGAATCTACAAGAAATTGGCTAGGTGTCACTTTTGTCACCTTTCACGAAGGTTTCTTTCTGTGAGGCCTAGCGAGTTTTGTCGTGTTATTGTCCCAAACTTGCCTAATTAACCAGGTAGCATGCCTTTTTGGTCTCCCCTTTGTCTGATGCTAGTCTAACTCTTCCACTCACTGTAAGTGGAAGTCCTTGCCATTGCTGGGACATTGAGTTTCCTGGCATGGGCCCCATATTTATACACCTGTTGTGCACTCAGTCAAACGCTATCAGTCCGGAGCTGCTCAACAGGATCTGTGACATTTGCACCCAGACATGGCAGATAAGGGGAAACTGGCACCTTGCTTTTGAAGGTCCCAAAGATCATGATAGCAGAGAGGAGGATGATCCCCCAGGACTAGCAGAAGAGGTCAAGCTACCATGTCCTGCCGGCTCGTCTGAAGTTGCCAACCAGGTCAGAGTGGTGTCAACAGTCCAGTGGAATGCCAAGCAATACCATAGGAAGGTCAATGACCTTCTCCGCTATGCCTGGGTAAGTGCCACCATCTTCTCTTTAATACCTCACATTAACTCTATCTCTGCCAATACACCCACCTCCCACCAAGGATCATGCTTTACCACTCTCACAATTGCAAGCAGTATTTCTTTTCACTCTCACCCACCCCAAACCCTCCACCCTAATAACTCTGCATAGCCTCCGTGCCATCCATTTGGGACTCCTCACCATCCTGCACAGAATTAACACCCCCTTAACTCACTCAATCCCTCTCTTTACTCATTTTAGGAGAAAGCAGCCCATAATTGGGCAAAAGAGAGAGAGTGAAGCTGGGTGTTTTTGACATCTGGCTCCTCACCCCCTAAAGAAGACAAGATCCTAACTGTGGCTGCTCAAGCAGCTGTAGTCAACGACAACATGCACTATGTCGGAGATAGTAAGAACTGCCGATGCTGGAGTCAGCGGTAACACAGTATGGAGTTGGATGAACACAGTAGGCCAGACAGCAGAGGAGCAGGAAAGTTGATGTTTTGGTTCGGGACCCTTCTTCTGAAATGGCACTACGTCCCACGGACAGACAACAACAGCCTTGACCTAATTGAGGACAACTCCCTTTCAACTTTGACATGTGGCCATTTGGTTGATGCACATGCAATGTGTTTACCACATAAGCTGCTGTAGGCGCAAGATTAAGATTTTGGGACAGTGCCATACAGCTACATACCCACCCTCTCGACTGATGACTGCTGACGAGCACAAAGCTATCTTGCTTTGTGTCTAGGCTGAGCAGCAAGGCAAGTCAGAAATACTAGAAGCCTTGAAGCTTTGTCAGAGGGAGCAAAACACAAACAGGCGAGGACAGACAACAAAAGGCACAGATTCTGGGAACACGCAGGTCAGTGCAAAGGGAGTGTGTATTAAGAGTGCAAACAAGCAGCCCTGATGTGCTACATGGTCCAGTCCATAAGCAGGGAGCCGGAGCCTGGAAATTCTGTGCTTTGCAGCAGCACTGCAATGAGAGATGCAGGTATAAAGGAAGTGCAAGCATTAAAGTGCAGAACTCTACTGTAAGTGGGCTGGAGATGCACCATGATGATGTGGTGAAGTTGGTGTACATCAAATGCCGATGCCTGTGAACATGGGGTGTGTGTGACTGCTATACATATGCTCGGAGATGTTGGTGCCGACTGTACAAGCAGGAGGCCTGGAACTGCAAACAGTGAGCTGGAGTTGTTATGAATCCAGTCAGATCCTCATGAGAGAATTCTCCATCTCTATCCAGCAAGTGTTCAGGCGAGATTATTTACTGATGACAGTGATAATGAGTGATAAACAATCGTGCATGTTTACACTCACAACTATATTAATACTCATGCATACACACATAGATAAACACACCCATATGAATATTGTTTTCATTAATGTGTACACTGAAATGCAGAAGCACACATAATTGATAATGGCTGCACACAACCATACATGCACACATAAGCAAACACTATTGAACCCATACCTGTTGTAAACCTGTTTTTGTACAAGATTGCTTTCATAGAACCACATGTAACTGGGAGCTTGTTTGAGGAGAAATCATCTTCTTTGGTGTTCTTAGGCTCTGCACCTGACAAAAATATCATTTTAAAAATTAATAGCTGCTGTTCAGCTTATACAGAGCAGGGAGGCTTGTTGTGTACAAGGGCAGCATTGTGTGCATTGGAGACGACAGTGTGTGCTGCATTAGTGCGATGCAGTAGTGCAGTGTAATATGTGTCTCAGGTCAGCATCAGCTCAATGCCCATGTACATATCTAAATTCTCTGGCCACCTCAAAGATCTCTCCCCTTGAAAGGTCATCTTTCCTTTAAACTGCCAAATCTTCAGTGAGAAATACCATCAAATGGAGTGATAATGCACTGCGGCTTTGCTGTTTTCATAATGAATTGGCCGTAGGAATGGAAATAGCTGCAATTTGTGGGATAGATAATGAATACTTGAAGAATATTCAAAAGACTTCCATTAATATTCAGCCTTTACCATCAACAGATGTTTTAAAGGGCATGACAGCTAATGAAGTATTTTTGAAGTGGAGTCTCTGTTGTCATAGAAGAAATGGTCACGCTCATTTCTGTGATATTACTTGAAACATGAATAATAGCCAAAGCGCACACTCTGCCCATTGGTACATCTAATGGCAACTGAAAATTCCACTCAAATAAAACTAAAATATCGCAGATGCTAGAAATCTGAAACAAACACAAGAATGCTGGAGAAACCCAGAAGTCTGGCAGCTTCCGCGGACACAGTTAATGTTTCAAGTCCGATATGACTCTTCTTTCTTTTGAAGATTTATTAATGCCTGTGGACTCTTTGTTGGAAGATCTTGATCCAGTTTGGTCCCGATAGTTCACAGAATGCTCCGGAGGCTGTTTCCAGGAGATGAAGGAATGGTCTTACGAGGAAATGTTGAGATGGTTGGACCTTTATTCAGGGGAGTTTCGAAGAGAGAGTATCTTATTGGCACAATTATTTGAATCTGAGGGGGCTTGACAGGCTGGTCCTAAGGGGATGCTTTTCCCCGTGGACCTAGAGGGCACTATTTCAGAATAAATGATTTCCCATTTAATATGGAGACCAGGAAGAAGTTCTTCTCTCGGATGGTTCTGAAACTCTGGAAATTCCTGTGCCAGAAAGCTATGGAAGCTGAGTAATTAAATCTACATAAGGTTGCGATGGATGTATTTTAGAATGATGGGAAATCAGGGGTTATTGGGAACAATCAGGAATATGGAGTTGAGGTCAATATGAGACCAAACATGATGTTCTTTAATAGGCACCAGGCTCGATGGTCCTTAAGACTTACTCATGGTTCTATTTCTTACACTCAATGTCATTATCCACCTACAATTGCCTTGTTAATGCTGGGCTTGAAAACAGTCCCCTTATTTCATACACTTATTTCTCATTAAACAGAATTTAATGATCCATTTCAAACATTTTTCTGTGCTCACCTGATGATCCAGCTTCATGGCAGATGGTAGATTTCTTCATCAACCCAATGTAGCTCTGAAACAGCAAAGCATTCTTAAACAGCAGCTCCAGATCACAATTACACAGACTTCACCCACATCCGGGCTCAAAATGATTCATAGTCATGATCTGTCTGTTCCACCCTCAGAGCAGGTCCCAACTCAACTCTCACAAATTAGATTCGTGAGCCACTTTATTTTTTTAAATTCACAGGATGTGAGCATCACTTGGCTAGGCCAGCATTTAGTGCCCTTCTCTAATTGCCCAGTGGGCAGTTAAGAGTCAATCACATTGCTGTGGGTCTGGAGTCACATGTAGGCCAGACCAGGTAAGGATGGCAGTTTCTTTCCCTAAAAGGATATTAGTGAACCAGATGAGTTTTTTTCCCGACAGTCAACAATGGTTTCATGGTCATCATTAGACACTTATTTCCAGATTTTTCTTGCATTCAAATCCAGGTCCCCAGGACAAAAACTGGGTCTTTGGATTAATAGTCCGAACAAATTAATAGGATACAAGCTCTAGGACTCACTCTACACTTCATAGATACATTGCAACAATGAACTCAGGGGCCCCACGTATCTTTACAATGAAGTGGGGAGGGGGGCATCCATTAATACTAGTGACATATTTAGGTTTGATTGTCCCAAAGCCCAACCTTCTATTCACCAGTTCATTGCTAGTTAAATTCTACCCACATCAAAATGCAGTGTAGTCAGGGATGAAAACTGCAGCATGATTACCGTCATAGAAGATGTCATTTGTGTCTTTGATTTGGACTGTTTGAGCACTGTGTTAGGTGCAGGACCCTGAGTAAAGAGATCCAGGGAGGGATTTGGGAGGTGACAATACATTGAAGATCTGTGCAGAAAGGTTGGACGTGGAATGGTATTTTGCATGGACAGAACAATTAAAGATGAAATTTTTGGAATGGGATTGATAGTAGATGCTTGGAAAGGAAGGGGCAAAATAACCTGATGAGAAATATCTTTTACACAGAGTGAATAGACAAAACGAAAGACAGCTCAAAGAAATTTTAAAACACTTCCTTACCTCTACTTCGGATCTGGATTCACTTTCGGATGATGTAGATTCAATGCTGGTGTCACTGTCAGTTTCAACTTTGTGCTTCTGCAACTGAAAATATGGAAAACTGTTACAACACCAGGATCACTGAAGATTCTGGCATAACTTTCATGCCAGCTTCATCAGATTCAATCATAACCTGTACACTGGCATTAGTGCACATCCCCATAATAACCCATAAAGTGGTCACTACCATAGCTTCAGCCATAACCTGTACATCAATATCATTCCAGGTTCAATTATAGTATGTGTATTCAGCATGGATATTGGGCATAGTCATCAGCTACTCTATTTAATCAGAGTTCTGAGACAGACAGTCTTTCAAATTTCATATTTATGAGACGTGAACAGAGATCATGATTTGTTTTAAAAGCTTTTTTTAAAAAAAAAAAAATGTTAAAAATGAAATGAACTTTGCTGGTTAAAACATGGCTAATGTGGTTATTGACAGCAATTGTGTAAGGATCATCATTTAGAACTCAGGCATCATCCTCCTGGAATGGCATACCCTCGTATTATGCAGACCTTTCAGAACACAAGTACAAAAAGACCATTAGATATTATATCCCTAGTCAGTTCAGAGCAAAGGGGAGCTATTGAAACTCATTATGCTTGAAATGGCATTAATGTTCACCAATGTTCTCAAACAAATGACAATAATCCTGACCAGAGAATTAGAAATCAATTTTTAGATAGATTTGACCTCATTTAGTTGAAACAGATTCATCCAAGAAACCCATCACTTGACCGAACTCTGGGTCTTTTGGAAAAAAGGTATAATTAGACATTATTTTAAGACCTCTTCATGCTGTAAAATCTAGTTACTGTTAACATCAATCTGATATGAATCTAACCGGTGGTACCACGGTCAGACTCCTGGTTTAGCTAAGCCTGTCTGTAGTCTAAATCTCCTCCAAAATCCAGTTTTAAAAAGAAACCTTAGTTTCAACAAAAAAAAGTGGACAAAGTCCATACATCAACACCATCCTGCTGTGCCTTCATCAAATTTACCAACTGCACCCAGCTGAATACAAACTCTAACGCAAAAGATCCATCAAGAACATTAACATTTTGGAACCATAGTAAAATGGTAAAAATTTAGGCCCATACTGTTGGTTTTTAAAAAAAAAACATTATTCTTAGTAGTTACCTATTTCCCCTGCTTTTTTTCCTTGGTATGTTTATGTGTGCATGTGTTGTGGCAATCACTTCACAGATTTAAATGCATGAATAAACCATATTCTAGTCTTAACCCTAAAGAATTTGCTGCAGGTCTTTCTTTTTAATAAAGTTGGGCTTTTCACAGAAACTTACAGAATACCGATAGGCCTGGGATAGAGTGGGCATTTAAAGACTTTCTCACAAGTAGGAGAGACTAGGACCCCAAGGGCACAGCATCAAGAGTGAAGGGGTAACCCTTTAGAAGCGAGATGGGGAGGCAGTGGCCTAGAGACCCAGGTAATGTTTTGGGGACCCAGGTTCAAATACCACCACGGCAGGTGGTGGAATTTGAATTCAATAAAAATCTGGAATTAAGAGTCTAATGGTGACTGTGAAAGCATTGCCGATTGTTGGAAAAACCCTTCTGGTTCACTAATGTCCTGGTCTGGTCTGGTCTACATCTGACTCCAGACCAACAGCAATGTGGCTGACTCTTAACTGCCACTCTCCTGGGCAACTAGTGATGGGCAAGAAATGCTGACTCAGCCAGTGACACCCTCATCCCGTGAATGAATAAGAGGAGGAGGAATTTCTTCAGTCAGAGGGTGGTGAATGTGTGGGACTCATTGCCACACAGGGCTGTGGAGGCCAACTCGTTGAGGAGTGTATATATAAGATAGGTTCCTTTTTAGTAAGGGGATCAAGGGTTACAGGGAGAAGGCAGGAGAATGGGGTTGAGAAATATATCAGCCAAGATTGAATGGCGGAGCAAACTCAATAGATTGAAGCAGTTAATTCTGCTCCTTTATCTTATGATCTCATGAACTCAAACCCCTCAGAGTGCATATTATTATTTTTCCCTCATTATTGTTTCTTTAGCCATAGGTCTGTCATTACTAAGAAACTTTTCTTGAAAGAGAGTACAAGATTTGTCACTTTCAAATCTTCTGACACCCCCCTCTTGTTGAAGAATACTTTGTAGTTTTTAATCTACAGCAATAAAAGAGGCTGAATTTCACATTGACTGGTACCTATGTATGAAAGAGATTTGGGAGAACTTTGCTGATGCTGTGAGAGACTTTTGAAAAATCTCTGAATGTAGTTCTGCTCCACATGACAGGTTTGGCTTGGCTCCACTATATTCTGAGCAGCAACAACCTCCCCTGTTTCCCAAATAATTACTGAATTCAGGGCCTAATCCTTACCTTAGCATGGACTGTTTTAAACTTCCTCTTGCTACTTGGACACACTAGGTAATTGTGCTGCAAGTAAAAGAAACAGGTCAACACATTTCTAGCTGCTCAATTGAAAAGAAACAACAACAAAACTAACATGAGCGATTACGTTTCATTCATTCCTAACACACTGAAATCCTGGCTCAGCTACAACTTAGGTTAGCTAAAGAATAAAGCTCCTTCTACACTGTTGCAGCAAGTATTCTCAGGTCAGCTGCAACACTGCTAGATACAGAATGAAAGTTTCTAATGGTTTTTATTCATTCATGGGATGCCATCTTTTCTGGCTGGGGCCAGGATTTATTGCTCATCCCTACCCGATCATGAGAAGGTGGTGGTGAACTGCCTTCTTGAATCATTGCTGTCATGTGGTGTCAGTGCACTCACAGTGCCGGTGGGAAGGTAGTTCCAGGCTTTTGAGCCAGTGAAACCAATGTATTACCAAGTCAAGATGCTGTGGCTCAGAGAGGAACTTGTCAGTCATGGTATTCCCTACATCTGCAGCCCTCGTCCTTCTAAATGGAGGTGGCCTTGGGATTGGAAGATGCCATCCAATGAGCGTTGGTGATAGCACATTTAAGAAGCATTTAGACAGACACATGAGCAGGCAGGGAATAGAGTGGTATGGACCTTGTTCAGGCAGACTGGATTAGTTTAGAGTGGCATCATGGTCAGCAAAGACATGGTGGGCCAAAGGGCCTGCTCCTGTGCTGGGTTGTTCTATGTCCTACGGCAAATTTCTGCAGTGCATTTTGTTGCTGGTACACATTACTTTGGTGGAGGGAGTGAGTGAATGTTTGTAGATGTAGTGCAGCTGCTTTGTCCTGAATAGTGGCAAGCTTCTTAACTATCATTGAGCTGGACTCATCCAGGCATCTGGGGAGCAATCCATCACACTCCTGTCATGTGCCTTCTAGATTGTGACCAGACTTTGGGGAGTCAGGAAGTGAGGTACTTCTTGTTGGAGATGAGCATTGTCTGGCCCTTGTATGGCTGGAATGTCACTTGCCACTTGTCAGCCCAAACATTCCAGACCTTTCATTTGGATATGGACTACCTCAGTGTCTGAGAATTGCAAATGTTTTTGAATAGTGTAATCCTCAGTGAGCATCCCCATTTCTGACCTTATGATGTTGGAAAGATTATTGATAAAGATCGTTGGGTTTAGGACCAAAGCAGGAAAAAAAAAAGTGGACAAAAACATACCAGCAGCAGGAAATAGTTGAAATGGATGTATAAATCAGGAGAAATATGTTCTGATCAAAAAGAAGTCAAGAGCAAGCTAACTGATGATGAAACATCATGGATGAGTAAATAGCTGAGGATTAAAAGTGAAAGTAACGAAAAAGGCACACACTAAGTACATCGGCAATAAAATGAAGGATGACAAGAGGGAATACAAAGAATTAGGGAACAAGTAAAAACAATTGGGAAAGCAAAGAGAGAAACTACAAAATCTAATTATCAAGGAATATTTCAGACCTAGAAACTGCAAAATAAAATCAGACTTGGGATAGGTCCATCAAAAGATACTCAAGAAAAACTCACAGGTATCGACCAATATATTGAATAGTTACTTTGCATCAATATTAATCAGGATGATTAACAAGATAGTCATGACATAGATAAAGTGTTTTTTTTAAAAATTAAGACATTGAATTGGTATTGCACAAACTGATCCAATGCAGAATTTATTACAATGAATTAAGGGGAAACAGGAGCCCTCTTATGTATGTAACGATTAGAAAAGGAGCAGAACCAGAGTGCTTGTGGGCTACTAATGTTTTTAAACTAAATGTAAAAAAGGAGAAAAACACATGTTCAGGGAACTAGCAACGTTTTTGGGAGGGAAGTTCCGATCGGCCATTTTTGTCCATTTTGAAGTATTTTGCATAAGCGCCTTTAATCCTGATTCCCGAGTCCAATTTCACAACCTTTTCAAAAGCGTTAAAATCCATCAACAGATGGAACTGATTTAACATTAAACAGAATGTGTGGTTAATTATGTAAAATAAACTATTACTTTTGCTTGTGAAGAGGCAGGACTACTCCCAGGGTACTGTGCCTTCCCACAGGAATGTGTGCTTTCCAGTTAGTGAGTAAGATATGAAAGCAATGCGTACAATTTGAAATTTACTCACTCACTCCCAGTTTCTATGTTTTTATTCCGGCTTGTGAATAAAGCCGGAACCATACTTAGTTTGTTTGTGTTTTGCTTCTGAATTGTGGGTACTTAGTATCTTTGTTTTAATCCAAGCTCTTCATTGATTCTCAGCCAATCAAGTTCCATAACTGCATAATCAGTACTCTGTTTGGACTGTTTGAGCATGGACTGATTCGTGGGCCGAGTCCGGGAACATCGGCAGAGTGAGCATGGCCTGAGTCCAGGAGCAGGGAGCAGAGTGAGCATGGGCTGGAGCCGGAGTGGCAGTAGAGTGGACAGGGAGGCCAGTGCTTGGAGACAGAGTTGCCTTGTGTCCTGAAGCTAGCCGGCATGGGCTCATGTTGGAAAAGGATTAGAACCTCAGTCACTTTTCATTATCATTCTGGACTTTTAAACCTCTATTCCCATGCTAGCCTATTTTTTTAAATTTTGTGACAACACTTAGAAGTATCTGTATCTCGGTACTCTGTATCTAAGTTGGTGCCGTGAGTTGACGTTACAAACTTTTCACTGCATTCATTCGAGTGCACGTGACAATAAAGGCTATTCTATCCTATTCTACTGGTCATAATTTATTGGAAACTTTTATCGTTGGATTTCCTTCTATTGGCTGCTTTATATTTCCCATGCAGAGGATGCAGATGGAAGAAGAGGGTCAATATAAAATTCCCTGCTCCTCAGAAAAACAGTTTTAAAGAAAGCATAAAGGGTAAAGACGAAGAGACACGAGGAACATCACAGACCTCCCCCTTTATACCTCACATTGTGTGATCATTCCTTGTGATTGTGGAATGTTATATCACACACACATCTGCTTAAATGCACATTTTACCAGGTCCTTAGGGGGCACTATGACCATTTCAGGATGGCAGAAATGAAACCATTCAGATTAGACCATCAGCAAGGCCATGTTTGTCCCATCAACAGGATGGTAAAGATCCCATGAAACTATTTCAGAGTAGGAACCCACTATTGGGAAGTGTAACATGGAATGTACCTCTAACAGCTTGGACAGTGGATAGCCTTTGCAACGAATACTGAGTTTCCAATTCTTGCTTCTGCCTTTGCCACCGTTCACCTCAAACTGATGTGGTGTACACCATTTATTCATGTACTTTATACATGGTGTGGTACTTCCTAAATAAAGCAGTCAGGAGGAACACGTGAGGGCAGAAAAAAAACCACAGTACAACAACAGAGTCTAGCAGAAAATTGCTGCACATCATATTATACAGGCCAGAAAATTTGTGTAAGACAGTACATAATATATACACAGAGATATTGTACAACACCGAGAGTGAGATGGTGGCTTTGTGGTAATGTCACTTGACTAATAATCCAAACTAATGTCCTGGGAATAGGGATTGAAATCCCACCAATTAATTTAAAAAAACTGGAATGTTGAAAATTTGAAAAAATAAAACAAAGGAAAATGATATGAAGGTATAAAAATAATTGCCAAATCTGATTTTCCTTTATTTCTTGGTTACATTTATAAAAACTAGTCAGATCTCATGATGCAGATAAACTATTTTTGAATGTTCGAGGACTTGGGAACTCACTTTAGGAGTGATTTATGATACAGGAGTTGAAACAACTGAACATAAAGTAGCTGGAAAACACCCAAAGATGGAACAGTTACCAAATGCTAGCTTTTTCTTGTCCAATATTCCAGTAATGCCACCACAGTAGACAGGCAGTTCATTGGAGTCAAAGTTCCTTTGGTTTGGGGGAGAACGAGACTTTTTCACTCTCCTAACATTTGACTTGATGCTTTTCTCTTTCCCTGAGCAAAAAAAGATAAATGAAACAGAGGTATAAAAATGGGAGAAAACAAAAGAGATACAAAGAGACTGTGATAAAGAGAAAATGACAGAGGTGTATGGAAAGAGAAAGAAGGAGAACGTGAGATAGATGGTACTTTTTATATCACGGCTGACCTTGTCAGTCCACGATAGAAATGTAAGACTCACACTCTGGTATAAAAATTACCTCCAGGGCTACACATAGTGAAAGACACTGTGTGTGTGTCTGTGTGTGTGTGAGGGTCTGTCTCTGTGTGTAACCGTGTGTGTCTATGAGAGTCTATGTGTTTGTGTGTGAGAGTGTATGTGTGTGTATCTGTCTGTGTGTGTGCCTGCCTGTGCCTCTGTTGAGTGTGTGTCTATGTCCGTGTCTGTTTCTGTGCATATGAGTCTGTGTGCAGTGAAGTGTAGCAAATGTTACGAACAGACTGCCAGCTCACGGTATGGATCTTTGCTGCATTCTGGGCTTTGATCTTTGCTGCACTTTTCAGTTCTTCCTTTGGCTGAATAAGGTGCACGTTCTTCATCAGGATGCTCTCTCTTTCCCATGATACAGAACTCGGCCTCTCCAATAGGTTTGGTTCCACAACTATGCTTTGCTCTGTCTTCTTTCAGTTCTGATGACGGGCCAAAGGAAGGTGCAGTCAGTATATAGGAATAAACAGAACAAAGAAAAATAATTCCCTCCTTTTAGTCAGACACAGGAGTGAAGGACATGAGATGTATTCTTTGCTAACACTATCCCTAAATTAACTTTCTTCATGTAGCTAGTTAATACTGTCGGACTCGATTAGTTCCTGGCCGTTTGTTAGTTTGAAAATCCTTCCACTGTTTATCTATCTTCACATGAAAAAAAAGAGTGAAGGTACAAAACAGAATGAATGGATTCAGTGAGAATCTACAATAAGAGTGCTCCACACTAGCTCGATATTTATATTGTGAGTGTGAGCGTTAGAGTGCGTGAGTGTGTGTGCATCTTTACATATAAGCGCATGTAAAGTGTGAGAGGGTGAGGGGGTGTTTGTTTGACTATCTGAGTGTGGTCAACAAGCCCCCCAGGCCTGCCCTGCCATTCTATAATGCCAATGTTCCCTAATTCGAGATTATTAGAACAAGGAAGGACAAAGAACGATAAAGAACAAAGAAGAATACAGCACAGGAACAGGCTCTTTGGCTCACTAAGACTGTACCAATCCCTAGTCCTTATTTAGGCCCACTACTTATTACCCATACACTGTTTCTATCTCTGTTCACCTTCCATTCATGTGTCTGTCAAGATATGCATTAAACAATGCTAACATTGCCCGATTCCTCCACTTCCACTGGCAGTGCGTTCCAGGCACCCACCACATTCAGTGTGAAAAATTTTGCCCACACTTCTCCCCTAAACTTTCCCCCTCTCACTTTGAACCTGTGCCCTCTTGTAGTGGATTTTTCCAGTGGAAACATCTTCTCAACATCTACCCCATCAAGCACTTTCAGAAACTTGTATATTTCGATAAAATCATTCATAGATCATAGAATCCCTACAGTGTGGAAACAGGTCCTTTGGCCCAATAAGTCCACACTGACACTCAGTGCATCCCAACCAGACCCATCCCCCTAACCTACACATCCCTGAACACTGCGGACAATTTAGCATGGCCAATCCACCTTGCCTGCACATCTTTGGACTGTGGGAGGAAACCAGAGCACCCGGAGGAAACCCACGCAGACAAGGGTAGAATGTGCAAACTCCACACAGACAGTCACGTGAGGGTGGAGTATGAACCTGGGTCCCTGGCACTGTGAGGCAGCAGTGCTAACCACTGAGCGACTGTGCAGCCCCTACATCCCTCATTCTATAAAGCTCTAATGAATGAAGTTCTATTTGTTTTGCTTTTCTTCATAAACCAACCCCTTCATCCCAGAAATCAGCCTAGTGACTTTCTTTTTAACTGTCTCCAATGCCAATATATCCTTGCTTAAGTATGTGGACTACAACATATACAGTACTCCAGGTGTGGCCTCACCAACACCCTGTACAATTGTATCAAGGTTCCTTGTTTCTTAAACTCCAACCACCAACTCCCACACTCACCTCGAGCAATAAAGGCCAAAATTCCATTTGCCTTCTTAATTACATGCTACACTTGCATACTAACATTTTGTGTTGTGTTTCGTGCACAAGAATACCCAAACCCATCTCTGCTAGATTTTTAAAATTTCCCTCCATTAAAATAATAGTCTGTAGTTTGATCTGCCAGTTTTTGACCACTCACTCAAATTTTCTTTATCCCCTTGCAGATTTCTTATGTCCACATCACAACATGTCTTCCCTCCTATTTTTCTACCATCAGCAAATTTGAATTGATTACAATCTGCCCATTCCTGAAAGTCACTAACATAAATAATTGAGTTCCTAGGATTAATGCCTGTGGCACTCTACTAGTTAAGTCTATCTGACCTGAAAAGGACCAATTAATTCTGAATCTCTGTCTTCTGTTTGTTAACCAATCCTCAATCCAATGAAAAATATTACCCCCAATACTCCTATCTTGTGCAATAACCTTTTATGTGGCACCTTATCAAATGCCTTCTTGAAACTCAAATAAACTACATCTACTTATTGCTCTTTATCAACTCTGCTTGCTACATCCTTAAATAACTCTAGGAAATGTTTCAAACATGATTTCACTTCCACTAAATCATCTCGAATTTGTATGATTGATTTAAGCTTTTCTAAATTTTCTGCTATTTCTTCTTTAGTAATGGATTCTAGCACTTTCCTAACAACTGATTTTTGGCTAATTAACCAATAGTTTTATGCTTTCTCTCTCCCTCCCTTCTTGAACAGGGGCATCACATTAGCAGTTTTCCAAACAAACAGGAATCCTGCCAGCATCCAGTGAATACTGAGTGATTTCCACCAATGCCTCCACTATCTCTGCAGTCCCTTTCTTTTAAACATTTGAATGCAGAACATCTGGGCTTGATGACTAGCCTGCCTTTAGTTCTATTAGTTTGTCAAATTCTTAATCCCTTATGATGGAGACTGTTACAAGAACATTCCTTTCATTAGCGATGTTTACAGTCTCCTTCACAGTGAAGACCTGCAATTTCTCCATTACTAAACTTCTAGTCTCATCCTCCAAAACGTCCTACACTTAGTTTGTCTATCTGCAGAAGTTCTTGCTGTTTGTTTGTGTATTACTTTGCTTTCATAATCAACATTCTTCCTCTTTTTTAGTGCTTGGTTCCTAAAACATTACCAATCTTCTGGGGTACCATGAGATTTCATGGTGTTATTTATCTTTTTGTGATATGGGGCCTTGTTGTCTTTGTCACCATTTATTGTCAAACACTAACTGTCCTGAAAAGGTGCTGAAAAGCCACCTTCTTGAATTCTTGCAGTATTGTCAAGGAGTTCCAGGAATTTGACCCAACTGCAAATTGTTTATTTAATTTTTTTTGTATTTATTTACTGCCATAACGTTTTTAGTCTGTTATCCAATCAATCTCAGCTGACTCATACCTATGTAATTGCACTTCTTTAAATTCAAGTGTCACATTTGAGATTAGAGTGCCTGAATTTCATCTACAAACTTGATGAGGAACTAAATTGTATTATGACCTCTACTTTTCTGTGCATCTTTTATTATGACATTACTAAATTACCCCTGCCTAATTGCATGATACTTGATCTAAAAACCCTCTATACGTAGTTGGTACCATAACTTAAGTCTCCAGGAGACTGTCACAAAAGTATCCTACAAATTTATCTTCCAGACCAACTTTGCCAATTTGATTGTCAAATTGAAGATTAAAGTCCCCGCGACTATTGTGTTGACTTTGTTTCACGTTCCAATAATTCATTGTTTAATGTTCTCTCCAACAGTATCACTATTGTTAAAGGGCCTTTTAAACTGTTCACATTTATATCTTCTGACCCTTGCTGCTCCTGACCTCCAGTTAAAGCTATGATACTTCTTGAGTTTCTGAACATTATTAGGACCACCCCTCCTCCTTTTCAATTCAGCCTGACTTTTTGAAATGTAGTTTACGCTGGACAATTCATTTCACAAACTTGGTCACCTCATAACAATGTCTCTTTTTGGCAGTTAGATCGAAACCATTTTTGCCATTAGTTCATCTATTTTATTGTGGATACTCCATGCATTCAGGAAAACGGCCTTTAATTTCATCTAATTAACTAATATTTTCTACACAGGCTTACTCTCTAATGCATTATTATCATCATTAAATACTCTATCCCTTCCTCGTCCAAGCAGCTTGTCTTCAGCCGCTTCGACGTACTTCTCGATTGCCTCAGCATTTACTTTCGGGATTTCTAAATCATCCTTTACTTGAATTCTCTTACCTTGTTAGTTTAAAGCCTTTTCCCCTACTCTGACCATACATGCTGCTTCACCCTTTCATTTCTTCAGTCTTTGTCCTATCTGATCACACCCTGATCATTACCTGCATCACTATTGCCTTGTCCTGGCTCTTCAATTTTCCAAACCAACCAACATATGCACACACCTCATTCACTAACAAAGTAACGCCTGTTGATTGGGAAGAGTTTTCCAGCCAAAGTTTAACAGTATATCCTGTCAACCGTTACTTTCAAAGTTCACTTAAATTTCTCTTGTATTATTTGTGAGAGATTTGATTATTTATGCCGACATTGTTGTTGACGTAGTAAATGTAATTGTGTGGTGGGGTGCGGGTATTGGGTAAGGGCTTCAGGACCCTGGAAGAACCTTGTGATAATGTCATGGAGCTGTACCTCACTAGACATAAATAGCATTGAGTGGTTGGAGCCAGAAACTCTTTAGGGAGTCATGAAAGTACACGGACATGAATACATGCAGATAGATTGGATTTTAAACAATGAAACAATAAAATTAGAGTCTAGTGTATTTATAATTAGCATGTGTACCAGAATTTAGACTAAAATGTATAATAAATAGTGCCAAGAAGTTGAAGCCTGAAGACCATTCTTGCCTTTGGCTTCGCTTTGATCAGTTTGTCTTACACCAAAATGCACAGCATGGCATCAAGCCATACAGTAATAGAGTGAATACTCACTACAGAGGTATCACTGCATCCATTCAAATAGCTAAACGGTTGTAATTGGACCATACCAAATACCTCTGTATAGTGAAAAAAAAAAATCAATACGGCTTGTATTTGTAGCGCACTTTTCAGAAACCAAGGATACCACATCGTGCTGTATTATCATCAATAAAGTACTTCTGAAATCCAGTCACAAGCTGACAGGGAGACTATATGCTAGTCACTATTTCCCATGGGGATCGATGGCAACTTAGAGACAGGATTATCGAAAGACTAGCATTTCAGAGGAGTAAAGGCCTGTGCCTCCACCCAGATACTTTCACTTACATACCTTCAAACAAGCTGCACTGCAAGTGATAGAGCTTCGGATACTTCTGCATGTTATATTCCTGAAACAAGTTACTCCAAAACTTGCGAATGGTTGGAGGATCGCTCTCTTCCAGGCACTCTAGCAATGAGTACACAGCCATATTGATCTCTTTTCGTACTTTTACAATCTCCTAGAAGAGAAAATGTACTTTGATACCCTGAACAGCATGACCGATTATAATGATTGGATCACAGCCACTCCAGTTCACTAAGTCCAAATATCACTGTTCAAACTCTAAATTAAACACTGTTCACTGGTCTCGCTCTGGGTTACTTACAGCCATCAGATTTCATGGCTTTCCAATCTTTGGAAGCCAATGCGATCTTCAATTCATTCCAATCATCAGGGGCTGTATGTTGGGACATCTATTGGTTTAATGTAGTTTAATTTAAAGCATGAGTATATTGGAAGTAAGGGTCTTGTGGCGTAGTAATAGCATTCTTATCGCAAGGCCAGCAGTCCCCACTTCAAGTCACACCTTCCCTGGAGATGCATCATGACATGGCCAAACAGGTTGATTAAAGTAACTATAAATTGAAGTGTGTAGAGGACAGATTTTGGCATTCAATTAAATCTACCACTATTTGAGCAGCTTTGCATGTTTAAAAAAATAATGCAACCCAGTCAACATGTTATGACCACTGTTAGAGCGATTTATGACACTTAAACCCAGGACTTCTGACCAAGAGATAGGAACACTACTCCTGGCCCATAGCTCACATCATAACACTGGTACTTCAGTAACACATGGGCTATGTCAGCAACAGCAAACGGTTTTTATCTTTCTACATTCCCTCTTTTAGAGTCAGAGTCATAGATTTGTCTACCAAGGAAACAGACCCTTCGGTCCAACTCATCCATGCCGACCAGATACCCCATTAGCCAGCATTTGGCCCATATCCCTCTAAACCCTTCCTATTCATGTCTCTATCCAGAAAAAATGTGTTTGTTATCCTTAGCTTAGAGTTTGCTCCATAAACCTTTCTTTATTCTTCTTAAGACCCTTCTAAAAGTAAAACCTAAATTATTGTCAAAGTTTTTGATCAGTTGTTGGAATGGCCCAAATCTGCCAATCACAGAAGTGATGGAAGCATTGATGAAGGAAGTGATTCATGCTCAGAAACTAGCATCTCTTTCAAATATGAAACCAAGGTTACAATCAGGGTTAGCCTCAGACTGACAGCAATGGAGATGCTGAGATGGTTTTTCATCAAATAGAATCCCATTCAGCCCACTGAGTGTGCACCAATCCTCCAAACAGCATCCCACCCAGACCCAGCTCTCCACCCTATCCCTTAACCCCACATTTATAGCGTGGCCAATTCTAACCTGCACATCTTTGAACTGTGGGAGGGAACTGGAGCAACTGGCAGAAACCCACACAGACACGGGGAGAATGTGCGAACTCCACACAGACAGTCACCCAAGGCTGGAATCGAACCCAGATCCCTGGCGCTGTGAGGCAGCAGTGCTAACCACCGTGTGAGCCAAAGTTTGTGGCTGTCTTTTTATTCGAAGACTGAAGTAAAAGGCAATGCTCCTTGAAAGGATCTTGGGGGTCAATGACATCTTCTGCCGCTGTTGATTTGACTAATCCTATAATCCTATCGTTAGTGAAGAGCAAACTGTACCACATCCCTGTTCATTGTCCACCCCTTTAAAATGAATACCCAGTCTTCTCAGTAATGTATCAGTGTTCAGGTTGTAGGTTTTGTAAATTGTCTAATGTGCCAAAGGCATTGTACCCCTTGAGGGAAAAAGAGGAAGGGGAGGAGTAATGATAACGATGCAATAAAACACATTGGCCCCTTTCACTGCTCCATCCTCTAATGTCTAACATCTTATTTTGTGAATGTTTAACTCCAATAAGAACCTCCAGCCTCTCCTGCTCATCTACAACTTAACCCTTGGGTTTGGAAGAGAAAGTGCTCCTTGCAGAAAGCCAGGAATGCAAATACAGGAGTATGATGGTGTATGGAAAAACAGGGAAAGGAAAGGTTCAAGGTGAAAAGTAAACTGTCTGGAGTGGGATGTCTAATTCAGTTGTAAGGCAGCAAGAATATTTTGGTAGATCCAGTCCAAGAAAATCTAAGCACTTGGTTCAAAAATACTAAGAATCGTGCAAATCCACGATGACAAAACTGAATGGATTTATGGAAACAACAGGTGTACAAATCTGACGCATCGAGAAAGCGTCAAAAACCCATAGAAGGTTAGAGTCTAGGGGGAGGCCATTTGAGGTGCTGAGTCTGTTCCAACGTTTTGCTAAAGCAATTTCAAACCCCAGCCTGATGAGTTTGTCTCTCTAGCCTTGTCACTCCCTTTGTTACAAATATCTGTTGAATCTCCCCTGAAAAGGTGCACGCTTTTATCCCTCAACTATTCCCAGTGACAACATTCCATGATTTCCAACACTCAGAGTCCCTACCGTGTGGAAACAGGCCATTCGGCCCAACATGTCCACACCGCCCCTCTGAAGAGCATCCCACCCAGACCCATTCGCCTACCCCTACATTTCCCATGTCTAACCCACTTAACCTAAACATCCCTGGATACTATGGAAAATTTAGCGTGGCCAATCCACCTAGCTTGTACATTTTTGGACTGTGGAAGGAAACAGCAACACCTGGAGGAAACCCACACAGACATGGGGAGAACGTGCAAACTCCACACAGACAGTCGCCCGAGGCTGGAATCGAACGCGGGTCGCTTGCGCTGTAAGGCAGCAGTGCTAACCACTGAGCCACCGTGCCACTCGTTAAACAATACAGGCTACAAATCCATTGTCTGGCAGACATTTCTCTTCACCTCTCCCCTTGCTCTCATTTTGAAATTCTGATGAGCTTTAGTCACCCATTCCCCACGGAGAGGACTCAATCTCCCTTGTTAAACCTTGTATTTTCCACAACTAAAGTGGGAATATTATTGGTCTTCATCACAACTCCTCAGTATTTTGTAACGCCTGGCATCATCCTGGTGAATCCAAACCGCACGCCATGCAAATTTAATACGCTTGCTACAACATGGTGCTCCACTCAGTCTTTTAAGTAAGGTCAAACCTTCCTCCAAGTTTTCCCACCAAGACGTTAACTCACTCACTTGGAATTTTTCATTGGTAATTAACAGCTTGTCTCGAAGGCCATGGAGGAATGGGAATAGTTCATCGATTGCAATGGAAATGTCCGTTTTATAGGTGCAAAGCTTCTGCCTGAGTTCTTCATCAGTAAAAAAATCAAGGAAGGACATACTGTAGGAGAAGACAATGAAAATGTTCCTCAATTGGCTTTACAATATGTAACATACCAAAGAAGTTCTTATAACTGTAATTATAAGTCATTCAAATGTGTATCTAGGGAGAAAAACACATATGGGTTTAACATTAAAAAATGATGGACTTATTGGCAGTGATTTTAGGCCTTCTCTCCAAATGGATAGGAGTTTAGCTGACAGCCGTGCTGCTTGTATCAAGCTGGTGTCTGAACTCCAGAAGCAGGAATCATTTGAAATACTCTGACACTCAGTGAGCACCACACACTAGAGACCCCAGTGTGGTGGTGGTGGGGGTGGTGGCGTCAGGGATTGGGCAGTTAATCTCAGAAGTGATTGAGCACAGGCTGGAAGTGGCCTGAACTATTTTAATTAGAGCCTTAAATGAACACCCTGACTGCTGTGGATCCCATAATTCTGCCAAAGAACAGTTGTGTCTTTTCTTCAGTTAAAACCAGAAATGTCATCCAGCATCACTGTTTAAGCTAACGCACCACTGCAACATGTAAGCATATTCCTGTTTTTGTACCATGAAAACTGTTGACCTGCTCCACGGTGGTTCTATTAACCCCTAAAGGCCTCCCGGATATCTTGCGGTTCTCAGTCTCTGTCACTTGCTAGTCGTTTAATTCAGTGAATACCTCCAATCCTTGCATGGTTTTTCAGAGCCTATCTCAGTTCCCAACCTCTCTTCTACTTCCTTTTGGTTTTTTTCAGCCCTTCTTGGATTGCCATTTTCAGTTTGAGGGAGATATCATTCTGTTGGTGTTTAGTTGTCTTTCAGTAAACCATCTATCCCTGGCAGTGGCAGAACTACACCCACTGTTGGCAAACGCATAGAAAATTCACTGCTTGGGTAAACGTCAATCAGTGGCACCTCTATACAGTTTCTCATGAGCTGTTTTATCAGCACTTTGGAGTTTAACTTGTATCCAGGTGGAAGCAAGGTCTATAAACACACAACGTCCAAAAAAATGTTAATTTTTCTCTCAATTTATAATAGTCTCAATTTCTTTGAACACAAACTCCTGATAGCTATCCTGCTGAAAAATCATGTCTGAGCAGACAGTAACCACCTTTAATGTTAGGACAACAATGTCACAACCTGACTCTGTGGGATACTGGACTACAGTGACACATTTTACATTAAAAAAAATTCAACGATCCCAAGAATAGATGCAAATGAGGATTGGTTAGCTCAGTTAGCTGGATAACTGGTTTTTGACGCCAACAGTAATTCTTGTACCAGCTGAGATCACCATGAAGATCTGTGTTCTGAACCTCACCCTTTGTCGGCCCTGTCTCTTCCAAAACTACTTTGACTCTTGTCAAATGTACTCAACCATCTCCCTTGAGCCGTGGCCTTCACTTGGCCACAGTTATCAACGAGTTGTGTGTTACTGGTCCTCTTTGCGTCCCCCCCAACCCCTGTTTTCAGACTTAGAGGCAGAAACCGTCAGCACGAGGCAAAATTCATTCTTAAGTGACCACCGTTCAAAAGGAATTCAGCGACTGCAAAGTGTTTTGGAAAGCTCTTAGAACTGGATCATGTAAGTCACAGCATGAAAATTCAACATTTGATTCCCAAATTGTGCATCATGATCTGCCACGCATAAAAGCAAAATTGGATCTAGGGTAACCTTTTGTTATCCTAAGGACTCATTAAATATGCAAATCAATGTCCAGCGCTACTTGTAGCACAATAAGTGTGAGATCCAGCAACAAATAAGAGGAGTATGCGGCTCACACTACTCAGTTACAACTAGACATAGAAATACCAATCCTGTCACCATTAAAAGAACAAGGGTTGGCTGCTGAAAGATAACTCAGTTTTTGTTTTCGTATACCCAGGAGAAGGAAGGAGATCAAAGTTAGAGGGAGGCATTCCCTGATTAAAACGTACTTATTTTCGTCTTTGCTTACAATCTGGACAGATTCTGGAGTTTGCGTCTGATGGAGGTAAACCCCTAGCCTATCTCCATGGAAGGCAAAGAGAAGGAACGGACTCTCAGGAACAAGATGCTGGTTTCTGGTATAACAAGGTGTAGAGCTGGATGAACACAGCAGGCCAAGCGGCAGAGGAGCAAGAAGGGCCTGAGTACCTTATTGCATGGCTTTGAATGGACGACTTGCAGATATTAAGACAGGAAGCTCAATAATCTCCATCTCTAATGTTTGTGGCGCATTGTCAGCATCTCAAGGAAAGGCAAGATCATGAACTCAACAGTCCTCATGTAAGCAAATCAGCTAAGTATGCTAGCACTCACATACAGGCTATTTCCAAGAATAGTGTATATGATGATATAGCCAGAGGCAGGAGACCAGGAGGATGCCCAAAGCTCTGTTTCATGAATGACTGAAAACACGTCATTGAAGGCCATAAACATTGAGTTTTATCGTGGGAGATATTAGTCACTTTTGTTGACATTAGTCAAGTGCTGACATTCACCCATGGCTGCTGTTGCTTGGCAACGTGTTAACACTGATAACAACTTGATAATCACCTCATTTGCTGCATTTCGAACAAAACCTGCCTCTTACAGATTGTCTCTTCAGCTATCAACATACTCCCATTCCTAATTGATTTGTCACAATACCATTGCTTTACGCAGATGGACTGACGTGAACTGAAGGAAAGGAGGGACTGCTTCCCCACTGAGCCTAAAAATACTCTGGCCCCATTCAATAACCACGATGGATCACCGCATTGCCCCACCACAATGCCAAACTGCCATCCAGTAGGAACGAGTGAATTCTCAGCTGTGCCATTACCCTGTCCAACCTCCCAGATTGGCAGGCTGCTACCCAGTATTAGTGCCCAAAGCTCACCTGTGGCATGTAAATAACCAAACTTCATTTGGATCTCACAGCAGTTGCTCCCTTGGCTTTGGGCAATTTGCATCCCGGAGATATTTTCTCTCTTTCTTTATTTCTCGACATTTTCAGCTCCAGAGGAAGCAGTCTGAATTTCCCAAGACTCATGTCCTAACCATTGTCTCTCTTCTGACATCAACACTGTGCAGTCACCAATATTCTCTCTGTAAAGCACACCATTCTCTCAAGGGTGAACAAATGACTACAGCATTGGACAAAATATTATGAGGGGGCAGGCAGGGTATGTGCGGTGGTTCATCTGATTCAGAAAGAAAAGTTATCAGCTTGCAAAAGACCTGGAAGATGCCCATCCTGTAGCCACTGCAGCCAGGTGCATTATGGCTACAGGATGGGCAGAAGGCTAGTGGATATCCACACTAACCACCCACTGCAGGGAGCTCCTGCAAGCTGGCTCACAAAATATACACAATTAATTGTGCAGTGAGGTGAGTTGGGGGGGGGCCGGCATACTTTGGGCAGAATGGTTTTTGATACCCCAGGGATGATGGGGGTGGGGGTTGAGGCGGCCGTTGCATTTTGTACTCTAGGCAGGAAGGAAGGGGTTACCATCTTCTCTGGGTGTGGGGAATAGTTGGCCCTGATGGGCAAAGGGTACCTGTCTGTAGACAGAAATGCCCTCCTTTCCTTCAGTTTTAAGTCCCCCCCCCCAAAAAAAAGCCCATGCCATTTGGGCAGTATAATATTGGAGTCAATAGAGCATGTCACTTACATACTGCTGTTGCTTCCAGACCCTACCTTCCTTCTGTATTTCAAGGATGAGCTGGGATTCAGGGTGGCGGTGGTCATGGAGATGATGGAGCTAATGACTTCATATAATCCCTACAGTGCGGAAACAGGCCATTTGGCCCAACAAGTCCACACTACCCCTCATCCGGACTCCATTCCCCTATTATTTCCCCTGTAACCTGCGTTTCCGATGGCTAATCCACCTAATTCACACATCCCTGGACACTATGGCCAATTTAGAACGGCCAATCCACTCAGCCTGCACATCTTTGGACTGTGGGAGGTAACCCACGCGGATACGGGGAGAACGTGCAAACCCCACACAGCCAGCCGCCTGAGGCTGGAATCGAACCCGGGTCCCTGGAGCTGTGTCCTACATCATTTGTCGGCCAAAAATAAAGCACCTTTCCGGAGCATGTAATATCCACCTTCAGTATTCAGTACAACTTTGGATGACTGTTTATTTAGCATAGAGGTTACCCAGCGTCAGATTACAACGTGAATAAAGCTGTAGAAATGAAACCTCAGTCTGCTCTTCAAAATTGTGAACAGGCGGAGACACGTTTACACTCACCTTCAGTATCAATGTCTCGGCGGATCACAACGATACGCAGGATTTGAAGACGAAAACCACCTCTGACCTTTGCTGTATGAATTCAAAAGACTCCGATATTTCAACTGCCTGGCTTCGATTGGAGGGGCGTAGTCAACACGTATATACCGGAAATCACTTCCAGCCTTCTAGGGAACATCTCTATAGTTCTGCCCATTGCTTCAAAGGCAGAAAGACTTCCTTCTTTTTACAACTTGCCCTTGAAAGAAAAATCAGCTTACCCTAGCAAATCCTCCACCATGCCCAAACCAGTATTATTGGTATCTGTGGCAATGGCGTCAAGAATTATTTTGTTCCAGTATTACTTTTACCAGTGACTGTTTTTTTTAATTATTACCAACACTCTGCATTGGGAGTATTTGACGGGGCACTCTGTATCTAACCCACACCATGCCCAGGCTGGCAATGTTTAATGGGGCAAAGTACGGTAGAGTAAGGAACAAAAACAAAGTTGCTGGAAAAGCTTAGCAGGTCTGGCAGCATCTGTGGTAGAGTACAGTAGAGTAAGTTTCGCTTTATGTTCAACCTATGCTGAATCAGTCCGGAAATGAAGCTGTCCGTGTACTACCCTAAGCATTTCCTCTCTGGCTTCACTGTGGTTTCAATATCGAATAAAGCTCGCTGTAGGAATGTTTGTTGGGTGGGTATAGAGGATGCTTTACTCCAAATTTAATCTATACTGTACCCAATCTGAAATGTATGAGGGGTGAGTGTAGATGGTACTTTACTCCGTGTCTATCTCACAATCTACCCAGATTGGGGCAATGCACAGTGGTCAGTTGCTTTATATTGAGGACTGCGCAGTCACATTTTCAATCAAACTATTTCTTATTTTTCAAAAATAACATTTTCAAATTTAGAATCTTTTCCATTAAAAGCTTTTGGATATCAGTGTCGTACTTGACCTTTGGAATGTTTCTTGTGTAGAAGCCGTTTTGTTCTGGATACAGGATAAATTAGATGCCAAAGTGTTGGTAGGGGCCTTATCCTTTGCATTAACCACATCCTGACCCTGACCTGGTAATATTTAGTAGGATTAAACTATTCAAAACTGCGCCTCGCCTGGGATACTGCATGCCGACAGAAGGAACATTGCTCTTCCAAATTCTGGCTTTTACCTGTGCAACCTGCAGAAATAAATATAATTTAAATCAGGGTCCTCTATACTTCGTATTATTGTAGACTTTTATGGTGATCCCTAATGATAGTCTGAACGCAACGCGGAATTTAAGCGTTGCCAGAAAGTTGAGTGTGACATATCCCAAACACTGGGCTTAGGGCCAGCACGTAGCGCGTTTTACGTCAATCAGAAAAATGCTGTCGTTTGTAAACGTAAACATGATGTTTTATTTTCTGACTTCGAAATAATCCAATCATATTGATCAGTGCGGAAGGAAATTCAGTTTTTGCAACATCCACAGAGGAACGATCTGCTTCAGTGAAGCAAAAACAAATCATGTTAACATTGAGTCCTGCCAACACTATTTAAAATATTGGAAACTGGATCCAATGTAAACCATGAGAACATGAAGTTGCTGCATGCAAACTCTGTCACCAGACTTATTCTTACAGTTTCTCCCACCGAGATATGCTGATTAGGTTCACTTTGTTCTTCCCTCCGGAACTTGTTTGGACAATGGTTAGTTTCTCTGTTAGTCTCTTGGAGACGTGTATAAATTGAGCAGTGTCTTCAGCGTCCTTCCCCATGGAGAAACTCTAGAATAATGCTTTTATGTTTACAATAATGAGACCGTGAAGCACTGAAACGTAGAAACTAGGGGAAAGAGTCTCCATTCGGCCCTTTGAGCCTGATCTGCCATTCAATATGATCATGGCTGATCCTTTATCTCAATCCCATATTCTTGCCTTGTCTACCTATCCCTTGTGCCTTTAAAATCTAAAAATGTATCTGTCTCTTTCTCAGATATATTCAGTGACTTGGCCTCCACAGCCTTCTGTGATAGCAAAGTCCACAGGTTCACTATCATTTGAATGAAGCAATTTTTCCTCATCTCAGTTCTAAATACTCTTGCCCCATTTGCTGAGACTGTGCCTCCAGGTTCCAGACTCCCCAGACAGGGAACGAATCCTGTCTGCAGAGTCTGTCCAACCTTTTTCAAATTTTATATGTTTCAATTTCATCCTTCTTTAGTGAATGCAGTTCCCAGAAGAACAAAATTGCTCTTCATAGGGCAGTCCTGCCAACCCTGGTATCAGCCTAGCAAACCTTTGCTGCAATTTCTGTATGGCAAGTATATCCTTTCAGAGGTAGGAAGACGAAATCTACATGCAATATTCCAGGTGTGATTTCACCAAGGCCCTGTATAACTGAAGTAAGACATTCCTAATTCTGAACTCAAATCCTGCTCGCTGCACCTACCTGTCTACTTCCATTGACTTATACGCCAGCAATAATAAGACAATGAGATGAAAGTTGATAGGGTGACAAAAATGACCGTGTAAGAACAGGGGCTGTGCAGAAGACACAGTCGGGGAAATAGAGAAGAAGTGATGCTTACCATGGTTGTGCTAGCTGTAAATGCAGTGTTTGAAGAAAACCTTGCTACAGTCTGTATCCGAGTCACTCATGGAGCAAGAAGAACGTAATTTTTAATTTAGTTTAATTTAATTTAATTTTAACTTAACCTTTTAATTTTAGATTTTATTGTCAGATGTACTCAAGTACAGAAGTACAGTGAAAAGTGTATGTTGTTGCCCCACAAGGTGCCATCTTGGGTGCCAAAGTATCCAGGTACAAAAATCTTAGGTACAAAGTAGTAAGAGAAACGAGAGTTAAAAAGTTGTGTTACTTCATAGAATAGTAGAAAAGTAAAGACATAGGTAATAGTTTATGTTAAAGTCTTTTGTAGTATAAACTAGGAAATAAAGGAATAAGTTCAAAGTTCAACAGACTTTGATGGGTCCTCCATTTATCTCACTGTGCTGTCCGTTCTTGATGCCATTGCTACAGATACTTTTGCTGCTGCTGAAACTGCTGCCTCTCTGATCTCCGCCAATGCCTCGGGAACATGTTCAGGCAGGACCCACTTGCACGCCAAGCGGAGACACTGCCATGAGCTGCCAAGAGACTGGGCAATGTACTGCCGAGAGACCAGGCCTGGACCCACCATGAGCCGCCGAGAGACCAGGGTGGGACCCACCATGAG